GACGCCCCGGCCGGGCGCCGCGCTCCGACTCCCAGCCCCGCTGTTGGTGCGGGTCCCGGGGCTCGAACCTGGCCCGGACGCGCGCCCTGAGCATTTTAGCTCAGAGCTAGAGCTGTGCCGCTCGAGTCACACAGCTCCACTTCCATCTTTTTTTGATTTGCTAGTAAATTGGCGATGAGAGAGTCTCGCGGGCTTTCCTGCCCGGGCTGGCTTCGAACCCCGATCCGATCCTCAGATCGCAGCCTCCGACGTGGCTCGGATCACGGGCCTTCTGAACCACCGGAGCTCAGCTGCGGTTTTCCTTTTCAAGCTCCTCAGAGGTTTCTTTTTCTCGTCTTCCCAGGAGTCACAAACAACGTCGTTTTGGAAGCGCCCTTTCTGGTTGGCATTGAAGGTTCGCTCAAATGCAGGTAAGGCCGAGAATGCCCGGTGGGCTCCAGACCTGGGCGTTATGAGGGAGAAACGGGGACGGGACACGGACGATCCTTTGAGTCCTTCTATTTAATTGTAAGCTGTGTATGTGCGATATATTTTTATTTCTCGCTTAAGTATGCTAAAATGGACATGTACCTTTCAATTAATAGCATCCTAAATTTAAAATCAGGACCTAAGATTGCATATGGCACCAACATTTTATTCTGTTGACAGCTTTATTGCAGATAATTCCACAAAGCATTATTATAGTGTGCATATGCATATATGTATGTGTATGTGTATGTATACATATACACATATTCACATCTGCCTCCCGTGCAGCTGGGATTACAGACATGGAAATGGATTCCCCCCCACCCCCCATGTTGGGGCTTGGACTCTGGATTCACTGTCCCTTGACCTTCTTTTTGCTCCTAGAGCTCTACCACTACCACTTGAACAGCAGCACCGCTTCCAGCATTTTTCTGAGTCTCATGGACTTTCCTTCCTTGGGCTGGCTTTGAACTGCAATCCTCAGATCTTAGCCACCTGAATAGCCAGGATTACAGATATGAGCCCCCAAAGCCTGGCTGGAATGGATGGATACCTTTTATTTGTTCTCTAATTATCCTTCTGGCCATATTTTGTCTCTCCTTCCAGCACTTACAACCTTCTATTCTGTAGTTCCTGTGGAATTCCCATTGGCTTCCATTTGTATTCCACCCATGCTGCTTTGGCTGCTTTAAGAGGTCACTTCTGCCTTTCTAGTGATAAAATGGTTTGGTGAGTAGGTATTTTTTGTTTGTTTGTTTTGTCGGTCATGGGCCCAAACTCTGGGCCTGCGTGCTGTCCCTCAGCTCTTCAGCTCAAGGCTAGCACTCTACTACTTGAGCCACAGTGCCACTTCCAGCTTTAGCTGCTTATGTGGTACTGAGGAATCGAACCCAGGGCCTCATGCATGCAAGGCAAGCACTCTACCACTGAGCCACCTTCCCAGCCCTGGTGAGTAGATATGTTTATCAAGTAAATTTTTATCTCTTGTGAAAAACAAAGTATTTGTATTAAAGATACAAACTCAGGGATTATCATCCAAAAAAATAGCAGTGTATATGACATAACTTCTTAACATTGTGATTGTTCTGGTTGTATTCTCATCATATTGTCTTAGTAGTCGTACCACAGAATAATTCAAAAGGGTATTTTATTTACTTACTTGTACTAATATTTGTTTTCTGTATTTCCATTTAGCTATCGGTTAAAAACAAAAGCTGTAGTAAATGCATCTGAGATTGATATTCAGAATGTTCCTCTACCAGAAAAGATTGCAGAGGTAAACTTTTCATGGTTGTATAGTTCTTTTAACATAGACAAATCCTCTTAAGTGGTGCTGGGAATTGAATCCAAGGTTTTGCACACTCTAGGCTAGTGTTTGCTTGAGCTGTATCCCCAGTATGGACAAGTTTATTTTTATTTTGCCAGTCATGGGACCCAAACTCAGGGACTGGTGTCTCACGTGGCTTTTTTACTTTTTCACTATACTTTGGTCATGCCTCTCTAATTGGAGATGAGAGTCTCCAATTTGGATTTGTTGGCCTGGACTGGCATTGAACCTCAATTCTTACAGCTCAGCCTCTTGAGTAGCTGAGCTGTGAAAGGCATGAACCTGATTCCTTGCTAAAGAAATATCATTTTTTTGCCCTTGGGGAGCGGGTAATGTTAGTTGTAGGTATTCACTAAAGGGCCTAGACGCTATCCTTGAGCTCTTTTGTTCAAGACTAGCCCTCTACCACTTTGAGCTACAGCTCAATTCCCGTTTTCTGGTGGTTAACTGGAAGAGTTTCATGGATTTTCCTGCCCAGGCTGGCTTTGAACCGCAATCCTCGATCTCAGCCTCCTGAATAGCTAGAATTACAAGCGTGAGCACCCAGCTAAGAAATGCATTCTTTTTTTTTTTTTTTTTTTGCCTGTCCTGGGGCTTGAACTCAGGGCCTGGGTTCTGTCCCTGAACCTCTCTGCACTCAAGGCTAGTTCTCTACCACTTAAGCCACATCCCCACTACCAGCTTTTCCTGTTGATGTGGTACTGAGAAATCAAACCCTGGACTTCATGCATGCTAGGCAAGCACTCTACCACTAAGCCACATTCCAGGCCCAAGAAATGTATTCTTCATATAGATTGAGATTGGTAACTCCCAATCTTGATCTAAAACAGCTGAAATTTGAAGTGGCATTCCAACCAACAAATTGAGAGTTAAAATACAATGTCCTGATAGTTATGTATTTCTCTCTGCAGCTCAAAGAGAAAATAATGCTAATACATGCTCGCTTAGATTCACTCACCAAGATTCTGAAGGAAAAGACTTCTCACAAGTCCAAGCCAGAAAACTTATCTTTGGTTCTTCAGATGTGACTATCAGATTCAAGATGTTGACTCTTCAGCAACAAGTGCTGTTTGGTAGTTTGTGAAAGAACCTGGCTTCATGAATGGGGTTTGCAGCCAGGCGCCATAGTTACTCAGGGCACTCATACCTGATAGCTGTTTGCAGCCAGCCTAGATAGGAAAGACCGTGAGACTTTTAATTCCAATTAACCAGTAGGAAACTGGAAGTGCTACTGTGACTCAAAGTGGTAAAGCTCTAGCATTGAGTAAAAAAGCTCAGGGACCATGCTCAGGCCTTGAGTTTAAGCCTCACAACCAACAACAAAAAGAATGGGATTTGTGTAATGTGCTTTAAAATGTTTATTTCTTTTCTGATCTTCCAAAAGATTTGTGAAGCTGTTCTTAAATTAAAAATTAGTTCAACAGGTTTTTATAGCTGTTTGCCTAAGTACATGTTATAGTTTAGTTTCCTAATGCCTATCTTTGAAGATACCTTTCACTGCAAATTGAGAGTTTTGAGTGCAATGTCCATGTATCCTCTATCTAACAAGGCATGGTCAATCTGAAAATACAATTGGGGTTAATGCTGATTACTAGCATTTCTTCATGGAGCCAGTGTTATAAGAATACTTATGAATCATGTTTTTCATGTAACATGAAATATTCTATGGGTCAGCTTTAGTAATTTGATGGTATAATATGGTTTCGTATACTGTAAATATTGAAAGTAATAAAATTTCACTTTTTTTTTTTTTTTGACCCTCATACAGCTAGACCTTTAGGCCTCGGTGCTGACCTTGAGCTCTTGCTTGAGTCTACATTCTACCCCCAGTTTTCTGGTGTTTAATAGGAGATAAGAGTCCCATGGACTTTCTTTCCTGGGCTGGCTTTGGACCACAATACTCAGATCTCAACCTCCTGAGTAGCTACAATTATAGGTATGAATCACCAGTGCCGGGAAAAATTTCACTCTTCTAAGTACTTATTTCTACTTTTGTGTAACAGGCTGAGTAGTTTCATCAGAATATTTAATACACTTATATGGTATTATGCTAGGTGACAAGGCTATTTTTAAAAAGCCAGAAAGCTGGGCGCTGGTGGCTCACGCCTATAATCCTAGCTACTCAAGAGGCTGAGATCTGAGAATCTGGGTTCAAAGCCAGCC